ACTTGTTTTTTTTACAGTTAGCAATACAACGTAATTTGAAGCTATATCATGCATACTAATGAAGGTTGCACCTCATTCACAATAGAGTGCGCTGGTTGGTTGGAACCAGTCTGTCTCATGAATTAATGCAGAAAACTCAATGACGTCACTTTGTACTGGTCTTAAATTGTACAAAATTGCTTTTAATTTTCTTTACAGCCATTGTGACAGAATCAGTTTTTAAAATAAAGCTTAAAGCCCATCTGTTAGAAAAGGCTTACGCAAGCTTATATTTATCTGCTTGTCTTCCAATTTTATGTTTTGATTTTTTTTAACTATTGCTGTTTTATTGTGCTTTGCAAATAAAATTGAAGTGAAGTGTTTTTTTTCTTAATCTTTTAATTAAAATGTCAAACAAACTACTTTCAATTTGTCATTGTTCTGTGTTATTTGTTAAAATTTTGAGAAAAATAATTAACCACCTTTTTTAGAACAGGGCTGTTCCATAAAATGTGGAAAGAGTGAAGCGTTGTGAATACTTTCTGGATGCGCTGTGAATAAATGAACAATTTAGACAATGGTGCCAGTGCGCTCACCACACCAGCTATTGGTGGAGTGGAGAGACAGTGATAAAGCCAATCCGGTGGATGGAGATGATTGGGAGGCCATGATCATAAGGGCCAATTGAGGGACTTTGGCCAGGACACCAGGCTTACACCCCTACTCTTTACGAGAAGTGCCATGGTATTTTTAATGACCACAGAGATTCAGGACCTAAGTTTAACGTCTCAAGCGAAAGCACCTACTGACAGTGTAGTGTCCCTTTCACTTTTACTGGAGTATTTGGACTCACACAGACCATAGGTTGAGCCCATTGTTTAATTATCTCGTCAGCCAATAACGACCAAGCACGCTACATATAAGCCTAAATAATTTCGCTGTACTCAAATGATATTGTCGTAGTTTCCCTCCATACTCCCCATCACCACCAGGTCGGCCTGGTCTCCACTCAGTGGTTGGCTTCACCCTGCCTTCATCTTCAGGCAGGATCTACGAGCTCATCCGGAGTTCTGCACCATAGACAGGGCTAACGCTAAAGGACTTTATGAAAGGACAGTAACAAACTTGCATTTATCCAAACAGTTCACAATAAATGTTAAAACGTTTATCTGCCTCCGAAAGTCTTTCTGGTAGAATTTGAATGACAAGAAAACTATTAATAAATATGAAAATGTTCTGTAATAATACACTATAGCAGCATTTTTGTGATCCTGGCTTGCAAATCCTGATCCACACTTGTTCAAAAGTTTGCATTTACTGACCCCAAAACACTGCTGTTGTCTAAATGAATGGCCAAAATGCAAATTTTTTCCAACTTTAGTGGAAAATGCGTTGTATAAATGATAAATTTGCCCAAATAATTCTGCTGTAATTTTCATGTGGACATAAAAATTAGCATGTACACAACTGTTGATTATACTCATGGCAAAGAAAAATATGTCACGCAGAAAGTCTGCAGGCCAACCTGAAATGTGGACTAACATACAAGCAGACTTATATAAGCAGTGTAGCATTACAATACAAGTGGACTGCATTGCTGAATTTAATTTAGCATGTATTATAGTCATTGTAAAGATACATCAGAAATATAATGGGAGTATGCTTTTAAGTTTCAGCTTATGTGAGCAATCTTGGAATTGTGCTTGCTTGAGGGCCAGAAGTAAATGTTCCCCCTTCATTACTATCTTTGACAGGTTTATGAACTTTGGAAAGCCATTTCTGTCAAAGTTTCCTTACTGTGGTCTCAAGTGGTTTGCAATGACCTTTTCTGCATCACTTGGTTCGCAATATTTCTCATATCTCATAGTCAGATTTCCTGTTTTAGGTATAATGGTCTGAGCATAAGCATTGGCAAACATCAAAGATCTGCTTCCTCAAGCATCTCTGACACATAAAAAAACCACATTTTATTAAAATGATGTGGTTGATGCTGAATGCTTTGAACTGAAAACAATGCTAGAGTTTTGCTTTATTTCAGCATTTAATTCAAGAAGACCTATGGATGTTAAAATGGTTTCAATGTTGCCTTGCATTTGTGCAAATGTATCCGGTTGCTATCTGTAGTTATTGTCTGTAAGTCTGTTGTCACCTCATCAGCTCAGTTATAACACCTTTTTTTAGGTGCATCACCCATTGGCTTTTTTATTCGTTTGTGGCTTACTTGCTTAGACACGTTTGATTTACTCTGCATGCAGACTTTGCAGTTTCAGCTTAATAGATATAAATCAACCATTTTGTACAATTTTCCACATAACACAGCTATTGCTGCCCCTCAAAGTGAGAAGTCGTGCTTATCAAGGGTCCGATCTTTCTCATTTCTGCACTAATGAAAATTGAAACCCAATTGATTATTCATTTATTTCCATTATTTGCATGCTCATTGCACTGCAGATATCACTTGCGAACAGTTACTTGGGATTTTACCTAAAGTCACTTTGTTTTTCCTGATTATTATTAAGTTTTTTTTATATACATTTAATCATTAATTTATTCATTTTCTTTTCGGCTTAGTCCCTATATTAATCCAGGGTCGCTACAGTGGAATGAATCACCAATTTATCCAGCATGTTTTTTTGCAGCGGATGCCCTTCCAGCCACAACCCATCTCTTTGAAACATCTACTCACAGTTATTCACACTCATACACTACGGTCAATTTAACCTACCCAATTCACCTGTACCGCATGTCTTTGGACTGTGGGGGAAACCGGAGCACCCGGAGGAAACCCACACGAACGCAGGGAGAAAACGCAAACTCCACACAGACATGCCAACTGACCCAGCCGAGGCTCAAACCAGCGACCTTCTTGTTGTTGGCAGTGGCATTTATGTTTTATAGTATTTAAATTGTTATGTAAAAAATGGCATTAAAACATTTACCCTGTAATTATATACATACTGTTGAAGTCAGAATTATTAGCCCCCGTTTATTTTTCTCCCCATTTTCTATTTAACGAAGAGAAGATTTTTTTTCCAAAACATTTCTAAAAATAGTTATAATAACTTATTTCTAATAATTATTAATATTATATATTAAGATATTATATTTATTAATATAAATATCTTTGTCATGATGACAGTAATTAATATTTGACTAGATATTTTTCAAGATACTTCTATACAGCTTGAAGTGACATTTAAAGGCCTAACTAGGTTAATTAGGTTAACTAGGCAGGTTAGGGTAATTAGGTAAATCATTGTATAACGATGGTTTGTTTTGGGCGAAGCAGTGGCGCAGTAGGTAGTGCTGTCGCCTCACAGCAAGAAGGTCGCTGAGTCGCTGGTTCGAGCCTCGGCTCAGTTGGCTTTTCTGTGTGGAGTTTGCATGTTCTCCCTGCGTTCGCGTGGGTTTCCTCCGGGTGCTCCAGTTTCTCCCACAGTCCAAAGACATGCGGTACAGGGGAATTGGGTAGGCTAAATTGTCCGTAGGGCAATCTTAAAGGGGCTAAGAATTTTTACTTTAAAATGTTTTTTTTTTTTAAACTTCTTTTATTCTAGATGAAATAAAACAAATCAGACTCTCTCCAGAAGAAAATATATTATCAGACACACTATGAAAATTTTCCTGCTCTGTTAAACATTATTTTGAAAATATTAAAAAAAGAAAAAAAAAATTCAAAGGGGGGGGGGGGCTAATAATTATGACTTTAACTGCTTATATATATATATATAAATATATATATATATATATATATATATATATATATATATAT